ATAAGGTGTGTGCCCACTTATTTCACCAATAATACGGCTGCTGTGGGGTTAAATGTATTGACAGGCAACCTAAGATGTTTGAGAGCCAGTTTTTGTGTATTATTGCTTTATTACAACCAAAATTACTGCGACTGCGTGTATGAATGTGTTACAATTACGATTTAAAATGGGGAAAAAATTGAAACAGCAGATGTGATCCGTTAGCATGGCTGCAGATTTTCAGTTCAACACCACACAGCAGTTAATTCTGCTTCCACAGTGAAGACTTTAAACTGGAGGAATATACCCTGCAGTATACCTGTCACACCATCCATTTCACATAAACTGGTCCACCTGAGAGATACAGCTCCCTTTGCAGTATACAAAGACAGGTATGAGTGGTACGAACACACTAGAATAAATGAAGTAAAGTGCTTTACATGGATTGACGAGTTTAGACCCTTTTGGCAGGGCTCGAGCACCCCTAACGTTGAAAACATCACCCCTGAAAAAACAAAAGAAAGCTTTGCCCAACTTCTCTATTGGAGACAGGTTACAGGTTATAGCAACTCTAGTATTAGTTTGTATTTTGTCCAGATGTTTGATGTGGCATTATGAGCTTTTTTAAATTGCTTGGAGTACAAGGGACTGAAAAAAAGCTATTATTCACTTTCCTACAAATTGTTCTTTTACTTAGTTTGGAAAATTATGGTCAAAGTTATTGAGCTTTTGCTTCAGGTTCACAACTAAAATTCTCACCTTAAAACCAGTAAATTATATTAAGAACTGTGATTATTTATTCCCAGTAATTCTTAGACACTACATTTTAAGACAAACATTTAAATGTTTATCTAGTTCAATTTAGGTTTGCAAGGGTGAAAAGGACTGAATGTGTTTGCAAGAAGCATATTACATTAATATTAATTGCAAGGCACCATGTGCATGAAAATATGAGGTTTGATCCTAGAATTGCCCCTGTTTATCTGATCTGTAAACTTCTGATTTGAATTGTTCTCTCTGTGTTTTGGATTTGGATTCTACAGCAAGCCGTTTGTCAGACTGATGAATCGTCAGTGAGACG